CCTCCTCAGGAGGCAGTACAGTTATGGGAATGGTGCATCCCTCATCACATCCACCTTATAGCCACATATATCCCAGGAAGGGACAGTGTGTTGGCACTGTGTTTCCCAATTTTATTTGGCCACAGAACCCTTTTTAGCTTGAAAGAATTTCAAGGAACCCTTAGTGTTGCCAGGGTAAAATGTGGTCGGTGCGGGGGAGAAGACCCACCGCAATTTGTTGAGCAAAAAAAAGTGTCCCACCACTATTTCTTTCTCTTTAAAAGGGGGCGGGGGAGTGCCAGGTTCTCATGGAACCCTTGCTTTTGCTTCACAAAGCACCAATTTGGGAAACACTGTGTTAGCAGACGACCTCAGCAGAAACTTCTGTCAAAATCATGAGTGGGAGAACAACAGGTTGGCCATCAATCTCCTGTTCTGCAGATGGGGGTTTCCTATGCTGGATCTCTTTGCAACACACACAAACTCATGGTGCCCTCAATATTACTCCGGAGCGGGACTAGACCTGGGATCTCTGGGAGAAGCGTTCAGCATCAGATGGGACACGCCTCTAGCATACACGTTTCCACCAATCCCTCTTACCCAGTGAGTGATATTCAAAATAAAACAGGACAGAGCCAAAGTAATATTGCTAGTGCCACAGTGGCCCAGACAGACTTGGTATCCAGTTCTTCTATGCATGGCCAGCCGTCCCCCCTCATCGCTTCTCTCCTATTCCGTCACTGCTTATGCAACAGAACGGGAAGATTCAGCACCCTGCCATTGAGTATCTTCACCTGCATGCATGGCTCCTTGCTGGTTAACCACGACAGAGACCCAGTATCCTCCAGAAGTTCAAACTGTTCTCACGAACAGCCACAGACCTGCAGTGAGGAAAACCTACTATCTCAAAAATAGCAGCGATTTGCTTGTTTCAGTGCTGCACTCCCACACAGATGGCAGTACCACTCATACTCATCTACCTACTACAGCTTCACAACTCTGGTTTATTTTTCAGCTCTGTCAAGGTCCACCTTGCAGCCAAATCTGCATTCCACCCACCTTTACAAGGCCATTCCATTTTCACTCATCCATCAATCAAGAGGTTTTTTCAGGACCTACACAATACATTCCCACCAACTAAAGAACCAGTCCTTGCATGGGACCTTAATCTTATGCTAAGGTCATTAACGGGCAAACCATTTGAATGACTAGCTATGCACTCCCTTCTCCATCTAGCCATGAGGGTGGCCTTCCTCATGGCTATTACCTCAGCACGAAGAATGGGAGAGCTGGGAGTGCTTATGACCAACCCACCTTATACGGTCTTCCTCAAAGACAAGGTGGGCCTACGGACCCATCCTAAATTCCTCCCCAAAGTACTTACAATGAAATGAGGTAACAAACAAACTTACTTACCTGTCTTCTTCCCCAAGCCTCATAGCAACAACAGGGAACGGACTCTCCATAGCCTTCATGTCTGTAGGGTAGTGGCCTTCTATCTGCAACGAAAATGCCCAGTCCACAAAAGTCTCACTTGTTCGTTTCCTCCACAGAAAGATCTCAGGGACAATCTATCTCCAAACAGAGACTATCTAAGTGGACCTCAGACTGTATAAGGATGGCTTATGCCATAGTCACCAAACAGTCTCCCTCATTTGTGTGTGCCCATTCCACAAGGGCAATGGCTACCTCCAAAGCATTCCTCCACGGAATCCCCACGGAAGAGATCTGCAAAGCAGCCACATGGCCTTCTGCTCACACTTTTCGCCTCACTATGCCATTCAATCATATGCAGACAATTCAGCCTAACCATACTTTCAGTAGCTGACACAAGCCTTCCGAAGTTCCCAAAGCCAGGCACTGATACTGCTCTGTAATCACCTAAAGGTGGAACACCCATGGGGACACTCCTCGAAGAAGGGAAGGTTGCTTACCCTGTGCAGTAATCAGAGTTCTTTGAGATGGTTGTCCCCATGCATGCTCCACCACTCTCCCTTCCCCCCTCTGCTTCGGATTCTGTTTGGGTTCCGGATCAGAGAAGAATTGAGGAGCCTGAGCCTCATGTGCGTGGCCGGCCGGAGGGGCACTGCTACCAAGAATCTCCGACTGGTGAGCATAACGGTGCTGGTGCACCTAAAGGTGGAGCACCCATGGGGACAATCATATCAAAGAACTCTAGTTACTGCACAGGGTGAGTAACCTTCCCTTCTGCTCCCCCACATCCAGGCGGGTCAGGAGGCATCTGAAGTGCCCCTTCAAGTGGCTGAAGGCGCATTCGACCTACATGCGGGACTTGTCCAGTCCTTGTTGGGGCCCAGGTGTTCAGTGTAGCTTCATCAGCCACAGCATGAGGGGTTAGGACACATCCCCCACGATGCACAGTAGCATATCAATGTCCCCGACCAGCCTACAAAGATGTCCGTAAACTGGCCGCAGTGGTCAACCAAGGCTTGCAGGACCATCGAGATGTATCCCTTCCTGTTGATGTATCCCTTCCTCCTCCTCCTCCTCCTTCTCTCCCCCCCGCCCCCGCAGCTAGGGAAGTCCAGGGCGGCAAATCTGGCAAATCCCTCACCACCTGCAGAAGGAGACAAAGATATAAAACAGAGAATTAAAGGTCGTGCTTGAGGGCCCCACCCCCAGAAAGAGCCCAGGAGCCACCCCCTATGAAGTCCCCCGCAGGGCTGTGAGGGCAGGACTGCAGAACCCTCCTCCCCCCCGCCCTCACACACTCAACACTCCCCTTTCCCTAGTGTTCCCCTTTCTAGTACTCCCCCACCTCCCCTCCAGGGACTGCAGCCTGAGAGCACCATATCTGCATGAGGAGGGCCCAGATAGTTGACTTCCCCATGCCAGACTAGTTGCCTATGGACCAGTAACTGTAGGGCCTGGATGGCTTCCAGACAGTGATGACCTGCTTCTCTAGGGGGATGGCCGGTTGCATCTGGGTGTCCCGTCATCTGAGGGCAGAGGTAAACCAGGTACACAGTTCCAGGAATGTCTCCTTCCTCATGCGGAAGCTTTGAAGCCACTGCTTGTTGTATCACTGCTCCATCCCCAGCTGGTCCCACCAGGTGGAACTCGTGTCCAGCTGGCAGAACTGTCACTCCACCGTGGGGTATAGTTGCAAGGACATCATTCCTGGACACAGGCAGAAGTTCTCAATCAGCTCGGGGTCAAGCTTATACAGGGCTATGAAGGCAGCCTGCAGTGTGGGGCCATCGCGTGCCTAGAGGCAGCTCTGGCTCCATGGCTGGGAATACTGTGGTGTACTAGAGCACACAGAGGAAATACTTTGCTGTCCCTTAGAGATAGGCAAGCAAGCAAAAGAATCTGAGAAATGGCTGTCCAGGAGGGTCCCTTTAAGCTCACGTCTCAGCCTTAGGGAGCAGCTCCAGGAAGCAACTGCTGACCTACTGCCATGCCTGAACTGGTTCTGGGTGGCCTTAAATGCGAGAGAGCGTCCAATCAGTGTAGATGCCATCTTTCGAAATAGCAAATTTAAATGCGAGAGAGCGTCCAATCAGTGTAGATGCAATCTTTCGAAATAGCACTGTTTGGTTGCGTTTTATGCATGTAGATGCTCTTTTTCAAAATAAGGTTTTCCAGAAGATACCTTCCAGAAAAGCTTATTCTGAAAGAAGCTTGCAGTGTAGATGTACCCTTAGTGTGAATTCTAGACAAGTGATTTAATCTCTCGGTGTCTGTTCTCCATCTGTAAAATGGTGATAATTCTTCCTTATCTATAGTTAAATAGTGCAGTAGTGGGGTTATAAAGTGATTTAATCTCTCGGTGTCTGTTCTCCATCTGTAAAATGGTGATAATTCTTCCTTATCTATAGTTATTTTTGTGGCACTTAAATAGTGCAGTAGTGGGGTTATTTGCATACCTAGCTATAACAGTTAAGTTTGTAGCATAGGTCAGTAATGTAAAATACAGAAACAACATTTAGACTTAACACTTGTTAAATTCTTGTATGAGTTAGCTGATAAAGGAATATGATTTCAGTCTTTGTTCCTGAATATCAGAACTATTTAAGATATGTTTAGCAGATGTACTCATGAAAGGAAAAATGTTAATTATTCATATTGCTTTGCTGTACTATATAAGTCGATTTATTGAAACTGTAATTTGTTCAAGTTGCATCTGGTAGGAAAATATATCAGAAGTAATTAATTGCATTCAAGATGTGATGAGCTGGATGTATCCACAGAGGACAATTGAAGACTGCAGCAGTGTAGTATTGATTGCCTTTTAGAGGGGGGGAAAAAATCTTATCCCATTTCTAACCGTTAACAATTCTAAGGGAAAAATTCCCACTTGGGAAGAATATTTTCCAGGTTGCTTCATTGCCAGGTGTTTGACATTGAGTGGCGCCTTAGATGAATGAAGCTTATGGCAGTCTTTGGAAAGGACTGACACCAGGGAATTTCAGCTTCCTGCTGTGAAAGTTTCTATTTTCAAAGCACATCAGTTTCAGTGGGAATGTTCCAGTAGTCCCATATGCTACTTCTGACAGAGCTAAGTTTCTACCCTGAATAAGAGGCGGCTACTGAAGAGGTTCTATTGCCGCTAACAATGAATTTCAGTATATTGCCAATGAGCACGGGACATATTTGCCACTGCTAATGGAATTTAACTCCATCAATTATTAACAGAAATGTGCTTTGTTTTTGTTCTTCCCTTCCCTTTCTTTCCCTTCCCTTCCCTTTTAACTCCACTACATGTTACTGATATGACTTTGTGGGTTCTGATACTGAGAGAGAATCACCCAAACAATGTTAGTTTTCTTTGAAACTCTTGCTATATTTTCTTTTCCTCTCCTCCCTCATTCTCTCTCTCCTTGACCTAGCAGCAGGAAGCCTTTGTCTGAGGTGTTCATCTGGAACAACTTTTCCACACTTGTTTTCATGTTCTGTTAGATTACAGGGCAGCAGGCCTACCTTTGAAGCTCCCTCCTCTTTTGTTTCTTTGCAGTGCACTCCAGTAATTAACTTTGTCCTTCTTTTATTTGTTCCAGTCAATCGCAGTCCACTCTGCTGAGCATCTTCTCCCAGGAGTACCAGGTTAGAAGTTTTCTCCTTTGTGAGGGTTGACAGGTGCCTAATTGAATGATGAATGTCCCTTTATTTCTTTGTAATTGAACTGCCAGCTTTCTGATTGGTTTGGAGGATGTTCCCTTTTCCACATCAAGCACCGCCTGAGTCTCAGTGGATGGCTGCCAAGCCTACCCATCCATCTGTCTAATAACATCTAGCCTTTGCTTATTTGGTGGACCTGTAATAAATTATGCTAAACCATTATTATTCTGACAATAATAATTTCCCTGTGTTGCGTGGTTCCATGTGCTAAATGTTTGCTGACTTGCACTGTCAGTGCTGCTTTCCATTGCTGACAGAGATGATGATAAATGACCATTGCCGGAGTGGCAGAAGGCAAGAGAGGCAGAAAATGGAGTCATTTATCATGAGATGACAGGTGTCAGTCAAGTGGCAAGTCTCTGTGGAATTACTTTTTGTGGTTTTTCAAATAAGTTGTTTTTAAGCAATGCTCTTCCTGGTTAAAAATGGCAATTGAATTGTAAAACTAGAGTGCAGAGGACTTAGATGGAATTGAATTGAGGGAAAATTAATACAAAGGTTGAAAGAGAGAACAAGTTTTTCTTTGCCCTCTGCAGCCCTCAGCAAACTTATTTAGATTCAATTACTATGACCTTACTGGCTTTTACATATATGGTACATTTCAGTACAGTCTGAAAACATTCTATTCTGTAGATAGATGAGAAGCCATTTCTGTATAGAATTCTCAAAATATAATTCAGTTGTCCTTAAGTTGAATATGGAGGCTACAAATCATCTACTCAGACATTCATACTTTATGTATCTGACTTGATATATCATAAAAGTCTTTGTTTTTGTCTCTTCTTTTTAGAAACAAATCAAAAGGACACATGCAAAGCATCACACTGCTGAGGCTACTGAAACTTACTACCAAAGGTATGACAAGACATACCTTTCCACCCAATTAGTAGGTATTATAGTACCTACTAATTGTAATTAAAATCGAGTAAATCAGATTTAGACTAATTTAATGTAAAATAAATAACCAGATTGAAATAAGGATAGTGGAAGTACCCCAAGACCATTTCAGTGAAAATTAATGTATTTACCAACTTACTATAAACAGGAGTGAACTAAGGGTAAAAGCACAAAAATGTCAGAAACACCTTTTAGGAAGGAAAGAGAACCTTTTATATGTCACTTTTACAAAATAATTTTACAATTGTATGCATTTTGAATTAATAAATAGTAATTGCTAACACCTTATAGTTTGTCTTAATTCTTTTGCCTTTTCTTTAGATATTTCTGTGACATAATTGGGGCTTATTGATAACTGGTAGAAATATACAAAAAGAATATTACTATATAGACTGACATATCTGAAGAGCTTTCGTGGCAAATGAGATCATACTTGTGATTACACGTGTCTAATATTTATGCTTTTATATTATTTTTTATGAATGGAGAAAATAAACAAAAAGCTTTCATTTGTAAAATATTAGGTAGTCTCAATATTTTTGCAAAAGTCATATATTTAGAAACAAAGACAATCTCATAGGATTAGACATGAAGGAAGGAACTCCAACAACGTGGTGTCCAACCAGTTCTGAAGCAGAAGCTATCTGTAGTGGCTAAAGCTATAGTGAACTAGCCACATTCAGCTGGCCATAGCCACATTGTTCAAGCCAGCTAGGCACACTGAACCAGCCAAGTAGCCACATATGGCTAGTATGTTAGACACCACGGCTCTAACAGAACGTATTTTCCTATTTCCTTTTGAAAAATAGTTGTGCTGCCTTATCACATTACAGTGGTCACATTTTGCCTGACCCAGTATTTAATCTTTGATTAGGAAGGATATTTGTTAAAATCTTTCTTGCAAATTTACATTATTATTACATAATATTGTTTCTAATTTTCATTAGTACAGTTTAAGTAACTAGCCATACAATAATACTGTGACTACTTCTCGGGACATGTTGAAACATTAGTTATTAAAAGACTTGAATCACTTTGATGACTATGTCTCCAGATCACCCAATTTAGTGTTTGTGTATTTTGATTAAGTGCCTTAAATCTTTGATGACTATGTCTCCAGATCACCCAATTGTTTGTGTTTTGATTAAGTGCCTTAAAGCAGGAGACATGGAATCAAACTGTCCTTGCGTTATATGCAGCAGAGGTTGCATTGGTGTGAGTAAAGTCTGGTTTCATAAGGAAATCAGGATTTGGCACCGTATCTTCCTCGTGGTTTATATAGTCTCAAGTATGATGCCATTGTGTAACAAATTCACATATATGAAACTTGGTGTTATCAGAAATGATGTAAAAATGTTTTGTCTACTCACCAAGCTATTTTAGTAGATTCTTGTGGGTATTTTGGGCTAAATGAGGAAAAATTTGTCTGACTGAAGTAGTTACCCCACAGAAACAAGTAAAGGGTTTGATTACTTGGTAGAATCATTAAAATGACATGCACATATTATATTTTTATTGTAATAGTTGAAGACACTTTTTTCGGTATAGTGTGTTTTCATGCTATAATACTTAAGTGCCATGTACAAAAGTCAGTTTCCATCGAAAAGGACCCTAAATTTATTGTTGTCCTACTTTATGCTGGCTTTCTTCTATGAGTTGCTCTCGTTTTGTCTCCAAACGAGATATGAACAAAAATCATTCTGCAGCTTTATGGGGGTAGGTGTGTCTGAACGTCTTCTTGAAAGTTAGAGTCAAATTGTTTCTGACTGCAGTAGGATGAATAGCTGCCTGCTACCTAGGGTGGAGATGGGTGAAGCAACAGGATTGACACCTACCAATGATGTGGTAGAGGATTAAGAGGATGTTGGTGTTGGAAGACAAATATACTATGGCTTACGCTTGTAACATGGCAGGCTGGTCTATTACTTGATCAAAGAGCCTCTACATATTATTGATAGGAATGATACTAGCCCTGGTTGCTTGCACTAATGATGTTCCTGGGTACAGGTAATAGTGCTGCTAAGTGTAGGTGTTATTTTTTCAAGTTGCATGGAGTTATCTTAGAGGTGGGCAAAATTGCAGGCCCTTTATCAGAAACCTCAGGATGCTTTCTGACATTATGAAACAGTCTGTCACAGTATGCATCTTCAAGAAGTCCCTAAGTTTATAGTAAAGTACACACCAGAGCTTGAGATGCTTTTGGCCTGTAATAGATCAAAGAGAGTAGCTGCTGCTGACAATGGAATAACTAGATAGGTATGAAGTTATGGAAATCAGTGTTGAGTGAGTGCTACTGATCTGAAAATTTGAGAGCTCTTATTTGTTTTACAAAAACAAATTATAGGTATTCATCTGTTTACTGGAGGGAATTTTTAAGTAGTTATTCATGCAACTGAAAGTGTATTTTTATAAGATGATTACTATCATGCCTTTCATGAATGAACTTCAAAATCCTTTAGAAATGAAAACTCACAATACCTACAACTTCTCACAGGTATAAATGCTGCTATAACCATTTCATAGATGGTTGAACTGAGGCAGAAATATATTTTGATGCACTCACAGCAAGGTGGTGTTGGAGTCAGCAACAAGCCTCAGACTTCCAGACTTTCTCATTATGTCCAATTAATAGAACTCGCTTTTCTGCTTTTCCTAGAAACATGTTTCTGCTTTTCCTTTACTTAATTGATTGATGTGCAATATGGGAGGCTCTAGAGCAGGTTATCAAACTAGCTTTAGACAGTTATCACAACTGGTCTTCTGAAGAGGTTAAATATTGGTGGCATTTTATGACTGTTACCTGATTCTCTTTCTTTAAGTACCATTTGACCCTCTCAGCAACTGCCAGTGATACAAGTTCTTCACACCAAATCCTGAAGGAGTCTTCTAGGCATTACTGCAGTACAAATATCAAACGATAGGAATTTGACAAAAAGTCAGTTCAGTGTGAGGGAATGGTCAGAAGCTTCACCACTTATTCATGCAGTCCTGATTATAAAAAAGTTTTTTTTCTTACCTTTTTGTAACATTCATTTCACATTGTTAAATTTAACCATTGAAAGCTTACATCAGAGCTGTCAGAGTGCTGCCTAACTGGTAAAATCAGTAGTTACACTTCCATGTTTGCACCCCATGACAGTAGCTACATAATGATGCATTTGAAGTTATTATTGAACCCAAAATCTTCGTTGTGGATAGTAAAGATTTATTGTGCTATGCATGTTTAATACAGATATAACTTGTTTATATGGCATTCAACCAAAATACAATTTTAAGAATTTGCTTGGCTTAATTACTGTATTTTTAAAGATTGCTATATCTTACAAATCTGCAGGATGAAACCCTTGAAAGTTAATGATAGTTTACAAGGATTATTTCTGAAAGAGTCTCTATTGAATTAGTGTTTCCCTGCTAGGCTGTGTGTAGTATTTGCCCAAGAGAAAGAGATAGAGGGGAAACTAACATGTTGAATATGGGCTTTTCTAGCCACTGTGGATTTACCTGGCTTTGACTTATCTAGGTACCTAAATGCGGTGAAGAAAAATGCAGCTTCCCCTGTACTACTGGAGCTAGCCAATGAGGTAATCGTTTTTTAAAAAAACCTTCCTGTGTAAAAACCTAAGGGGCATATCTATAGTGACTTGACTTAGAAGAAATGTAATTAACCTAAAAAATGGTTTCAAGGCACATTAGACACACAAAATTGTTCCCAAGTCTGTTAGTACTTAAAATAATTGGACAAAGAGTCCCACTTATTAATAAATCAGTTAATTTAAGTGGTTTCTAACTTCAAGGCAAATATGTAAGAGGCTTCTGCAATTTTTATTTTGTTGACAATTTGTGAGAAACTGACTAAAGCAAGTGCCATTTAACATTGCTTTTAAAATACCCATGTTGATTAAAGACATGCAGATTAGTATTTCTTAGGATTTCTTGTTTAAATTTCCTCCTAACCCCTGCAAATCTTTGATTTTATATTTAAGGGTTAACTTCATAATCATAGCAGTGAGACTACTACAGATTGAACCTCAGTAGTCTAGCATCCTTGGGACCTGGCCAGAGAATTTGCTGAACTATGGGAGATCAATATTGTCTAGCAGCATTACCAACACTTCCCCTGCTTATTGGGCTTTTAGAAGACATTTAGGAACAAATTAGAGCTAAATAACAGCACAGAACACGGAGAGCCAGGTAGCTGTAAATGAACTCTATGACCACATGTTGCTGGACTAGAGAAATTCAACATGTAGAAAAAAATAAATATCAAAAGCCCTCAAACCAGGAGTTTGTGAACTTTAACTGAGATTCTCCCCCATTCCCTCAAAATTGCAATTTTTGATGTGCACCTGCCCTCAATCTAGGTAAAAATAGACACAAGCAAAAGCATGGATGATAGTCTTTTCATACACCTAATAGAGATTTTAACACCACTTTAATTAAATTATATACACCTGTAAGTTTCAAATACACAGATATATACCAATGAAACAGCCCAGCAGTGGGCTATTTATACCTTGCAGTCAGGCTCACCATTCGGACAGGGACAACACTTAGGTCTTCGCCCTTCCTGTTTCGGGGGAGAGGGGCAGGCACGTGTGACTGTTACTAAGGGTGGAGCCAGCACTGGATGCAGAGGCTTCAGGAACAGAAATTATTGTGCCTGTAGCAGATGTTGACAGTGACCCCACAGGCTGGTTGGCCTGCTGAAGTGTTCGGGGTGGAAGTGGCACTCCCTTCCTGCTTTGTGTTGG